GCCCGGTGCTGCAGCTCGGACTCACCCCGCGGATGTCCCAGTACCCGAGAACCACCGGCATAGTGCGCTGCGCTGCTTTTCCTGCTGCTTTACGCGACTGCTCCAGTGGCTACGTCTGTCAGGGAGTCGGGACTGGAGCGCAGCGGCTGCTTTATAACCTGCCCGGCAAGGGGCGCGGCTGCCGAGCACAACCCAATGGGGAGGGGTGTGTTAAAGGGGCCGCGCCGCCCAAACCCGTAGACACGCCCCCAGGGGTGTTTTATTTGAACGGGCGATTGCGGGGGAAGCAGGTTGTGGCTGCTCAGCTCTAGGCGAGGCCCCGATCCCCGCGCCACAGACTCCCAGCGGGGAGCGAACCCGCGGTGCTGCGGGGCAGAGGTTTGCATGGCGGACGCTGCAGCACCGGGCACATGCACTCCTGAGAAGCGACCAAAAGCACAGCCCAGCCCGGTTGCGGGGTGTTGGCGCTGCGGGGGGGAAGGTGCCCGGGTAAAGTGGTTTCGCATGCGAGGTGCTATTCACACGGGCCGGGCCCCGGATTCGTTCTAGCCTGGGTTTTGTTTTCAACCGGGCAGTGCCTCTTTAAATGAAGCACCACCCGGCAGACTCTGGGGTGGAGCCTGTGCTGAGAGGGGGGACGAGGGACCCGCTGGAAAATGGCTAGAACCGCTTACGGGAGATATTGGTCTAGATGTTTATTCTGGTTGTAGGGCTGTGCTGTTAAAAGATTTAGGCTGCTCAGAGATCTATTCTGGTGCTGTATGCTGTAAAACGAGCATAAATTCTATGACGTTCATTGATAATAGTGTATGCAATTGCTGTTTTCAGAAAAAAACACTAGAGGGCAATATAACTATGAAAAAGAGAGGTCTTAGGTCCCTTTAGTTTTAAAAAAATATATTCATTTAACTCTAATCGTATGTCTTCATTGTTCAGCTATAAAATATAACTCACAACAAAACAATTACTTCAAGTTAATGGGCCAAATTCCTCCATAGAGTATCCCCTTCAGCGATTACGGCAGAGAGGAATTTGACTCAACGTTTTCAACCTTGTCTATAGGTATTACCATTCTGGCTGGTGAATGTGCATGAAGTAGTGTTTGTGCATGTACGTGAAATTATTCCTAGGAGTGACTTTAACCTTTTTGAGGTGTGGACTACCTTTTTGTTCTGTGTTTGTACAGTGCCTAACACGATGGAGTCCTGATCCATGACTGAGGCTCCGAGGTGCTACAATAATACGAACAAAATAATAATAATAATGATGATGATGTTGCACTGGGGATTAATCTGGCCCATAACATGTATGTCACTATTATAATGGCAATCTGATAAAAGAAGCAACATTTGTCCTACCTGTTCATTAATTTTCTTAGGGATTCACTGGGCACGAGTGCCCCGCTCTGTCATGGTCTGCCTTATTGGAGATCCAGAGGTGGTTGAAACTCTTACTAGGAGATAGGCCTCTGATCAGAGCCACCTCTACAAAATTCAGCCCTAAATCTGCCCTTCCAATATTGTACAAATGCCCATTATATTAACAATATGTCAAACTATCAACATAATGAGTCCAACCAATGATGAAACCAGCAGTTTTGTTTGAAATATTTCCTAGTGAGGTGTTAGAACAGGACAACTCTGAGAAAAGAATTTAACTTGTGGGGCTAATGCTCTTTTCAGCATTCACTTCTTCCCTCCACTCCAGGGAAGGAGCGAGCAACATAGGGAGCCAAACAAGGCACAGCACCTCAGCCAGCACAGTAGAATCTCACTCAATCCCACCAGTTCCTGGGAAATTATTGACTAAGGGTTAGATCATCACAGGCTTCCACACAGGTGTGTAAGGAGGAAGGGGAGGGCACTGCTACCCTGAATTGTTCTACTTAAAACACGGGGAGCTTGTGTTTAACAGCAATATTGTTTTTATTTAAACATTACGTAACAAACACAACAGCAATTGATGCTGACTGCAGCCTGCACCGCCCTGCAGTCTAGAGCCCTGCCTTCCGAAATGAAGCTGGCCTTTGATCTCTGAACCTACACTCAACATACTTATACAACACTGATTGTGACTCCACAGACTCCTCTGCTTAGCTTTGCTCAGATTGGGACTCCAAGGCACAGAGTGCTGGAGACCAGGGGCTGCTCCCCAATGCTCTCACCTGTAAGTGGGTGGGTGGGAGGCAGAGAAGGACGTGAGTCCTGGCTCCCTACTTATCAGCTAGGCACGTAGGTGGGAGTAAGCTGCTCTACAACAAGATGTGAGGTAACCTACTCCCACCCCAGATGTCACAATTCATTCCTTGGCCTGATCCTGAGGCAGAGCAGCTACCTAGGACAGATCATAACATTACAATCTACTCCTATGTGAGCAAACAGTGGGGAAAAAAGCAAAGGTAACGCCTCACACTCTGGCATTTTGTTTTTTGATTGACAAGGACAATTTAGTTTTTGCCGTTTATTATTCTTGATAGCATGCGAGAAAACATGCTGTAGCATGTTTCATACAAGTCACAAAGTCTTAGTAACATATGTTACTACACTAGAGAGCTGCTTCTAAATGCTGTGTGCCCTCAGCTGTTAGATCCGGAGATGCAGCCATTTTGTGGGCATGAGTGATGAGGTGGGCAGATGCATGAAGGACAAACTAGTGAGGTTTTACTATTTTTAGTACCGTGAGCAACCACGGCCTGGAGAATCTTCCGACTATAGGCTTTCTCTGCTGATGACTCCAAATGTAGCGCCATTTTGTTCAGGCAAATCTCTTGTGCACATGCGGAAGCCTTCTATATCTTGGCCTTTTGGAGTGGCTTTGATGTTGTTTGGAGATGGGAAGCCTACTTGCTTCACAAGCTTCTGATATGCATAATCTTATTCAAATAGAAGATCTGGAAACTCTTATCTTTTATCCTAGGGTTGAAAGCCAATGAAGGGAGCAAACAGCTGTTAACAGCACGTGTTCAGTAGATGGCTCTTTTGTGCCCTCAGTTCTGCTCAATGAAGTTGTAACTGTATAAGTGAGCACCTTGCATCTGTGTTATGCATCTTCTGTCTCATGAAATGGATTTGGATTAAAAAGAAGCCCACACTATGCGATGGCTCTGCCTGGATTGTCTGCATGGATTGAACCTGGACCTCCAAGCCTAAAAGCATGAGTGCCTACTGTCTAAGCTGAAGGGCCAAGGTCGATTGGTTTAGTGGCAGTAGCAGACTCCTAAATCTCCATGCAATCCAGGTGGGACAAAGAGACACAGACTGCCAGCATGTATTTAATGTATTTAATAAGTCCACGAATAAAAAGAAGATTCCCAGGTGAGATGGCCAGTAATATTGATGATGAGATCTTCATCCTGAAGCTGGACATTCCCATACATTTGTTCAGTGGGGTTAAGGTTCAGGACATAGTTTATTTCCTCACATGGAAACTGCAAACATTAGTGAGAATGCTCCACAGCACTTCTTTAGTTCTGGGGCTGTTTCTATAGCTCATGCCTAGAAGCTGACTGGTGGCTTCTTTCCTTATTACAGACTTTGATTGAACCCAGGGCTTTCAAACCTCTCAAGTACTATTAAGAAGCCATCTTGAAGCTTTTCTAGTACCCATCATCTGCAATTGTTCTTATCCATTCTTCCTGAAAGATTCTGTATGACCTCTGGGGAAGAGCAGGAAGATAGTCACACACTGGACCTGCTTGTTGTGAGCCGGCTGTTCATGTTTTACCTGAATCTGTCACCCTGTGTCATCTGTTCTGTGGCCTCCTTTTGCAGTACCGGTAGGAGCTGTGTGTTCTATTGCCTTGTAAGGGACTAAAGGATGCATATGGGGACACATTAGTCATTAATCTTTTAGAGACATGGGATCTTAAAACTAGAGATGGAAAAGATTGATTAGGTCATTAAGTGCATCCACCTGCCAGTGCAGTCTTCACTACAATATGTTTTCTTGTTTACACAGGATATTTTCTACATGTTGCTGCTTTAAAATAAGCAATAAGAGAACATTGTAAAACATATATTAAGGATCAGATCTTCAAAAATGGCTTCTCATTTTGGGTCCCCAACTTCAGATACTAATTTTCAGACTTGCTCACCATTTGCAACTGCAATTGAAGCAAATAGGAACTTTGACTGGGCTGGCAGACACCTCTGAGTATTAACTTATGTAGTCATATCTGTCTGTACTATTACCCTTGTCCTATCCACCAAACCCTATTTGCCTATTTATTAACCTATTGCATATTATCTGACTCCTAGATTGCAAGCTTTTGGGGCCAGTGAGAGAGTTGCTGTGTTATTTTCTGTATCTTGTACAATGAAACCCTGTGCATGACAGCAATAGAAATAATAACAAGAAAAATATCTGGTGCTCATTGGCTCTAAAATTTGGTACCTAAAGCAGAGGCATACAAATACAGATGCCTTTTTAGAAAAGTGGGCCTCAAAGGAATTAATAATATTCTTACCCCTCTACCTAGCAGTAACACATATCAAGGAAACCAAAACAGGTTGGCTTCCGATGGGAGGATAAATCAGTGATGTGGAGTCAGTGCAACTTGTTCATCTACATTATATACACTAGTATTTGAACAGAAGTGGGCACAAACAACATCCAGGTTATCCCTTCTTTCAGAAATCTCAGCCCAAACACTAATGCCTGGTTCCCAGGAAGCAACTCTTCCTCAGGAATTAACTCTGGATGGAGAGATTAAGGCAGACACCAGACTTTCCTGCTGTTTTCAACAGCTCCCCTCTCTCCTGCCCCCTGCCAAAGAATGGTACCACAAAGCTAACAATACACCATTTCTCCAAACAAAACTGTAGCAGTGAAGTTGGAAGCCATATATTAGTTCAGTCTCCATTTTCATACAGTCCTTGACCCTGCTGCTTAGACAACCAGCAAGTGTGTGAACTCTAATGACAGCTTTTATCTTGTAAAAATCCAGCCACTAGGTCCTTGATTGATGGTAACAACTTCTAATCTCTACTTGAGATATCCCATCTCCTAGAACTGGAAGGGACCTTGAAAGGTCATCGAGTCCAGCCCCCTGCCTTCACTAGCAGGACCAAGTACTGATTTTGCCCCAGATCCCTAAGTGGGCCCCCTTAAGGACTGAACTCTGAACCCTGGGTTTAGTAGGCCAATGCTCAAACCACTGAGCTATCCCTCCCCCCTTGAGTAGGTTGAATACGAACCAGCTCTTTAGAGGTGAAAAGATCCATATTCTATTATTACCAATGTCACATCAGAAACAACTTTTAATTTTCATATCCAGTGTAGCCACTAGAAAATAATAAATAGAATATGTATAGCTCTCTATATGGTCAAAGAGCTTTCCAGATATTCACAAATTAATCATCATCATTCTTTTATGAGGTAGGCATTATTACCCCCATTTTACAGATGGGGAAATAGAGGCAGACAAGTTGCTCCCAATGCTTTACCCTTGGTCAGAGACAGAGCTGGGATTAGGTGTCAGGAATTCCTGACTCTTAACCCTGTTATGTAGGTGGTCCAGTGAGAGCTATTACCTCAGCTACTTTGTCTCTCTCAGAACCCTGTGTTTTTTCCTATACATCACTCTGCCTCTAGATGGGTTCCCCAATGTTTATACTAGGAAAGAATAATAATGTATTTATTATTAACTAACAGTTGGCCTGATTGTGCCCTGGATATGTGTGCACTCTGATTTCTTCAGGTCTGTACTCTACAGGCCCTCCACACACCAGGGATCTATGAGCAGGGAGGAACCCGGGAGTCAGCAAAGTGGGGGCATATCCAATTTAACCTGAGCATGTACTTTTACCATGGCTCCCCTGTATGCTTTGGAAACCCCATGAAGGGAGGTTGCTGGTGCTACTGGCCCCAGTGGCCAGGATCGAAGGACAGCGCTGGTAACGTAGCTCTATTGTAGCTGCCTTGCTAGGCAGCAACAGGAATATGGTAAGGCAGAGCTGGTGCAGGAGCACCTGGTCTCCAGCTAGATGACTCTGTGCATCCAGAGGGCTCTGGCGTAAAGCTTCTGCCCATTCAACACAAGGTGCAACCCACCCCCAAAAGAAAGATTTGATGAAAAGCTCATGAGGGGGATTTCTTATTGTTTCCCAGCTCCTGCTTTTCATGCAGAAACAGTTGCTCCAGGGCCTGTATTTTGAAGTCAGCTGCAGCAGCCTTGTATGCTCATTTCATATCATATTCAAATCCACGCTGATTTGTGAACACCAAATACATTCATTTTTGCAGTTATGAGATGTATTCTCTGTTAAGCTAATCTCTAAAGCCTGCTCACTACTTCTGGAGGATGGCGGACATGGACACATGCCCATAATTCCAAGGGATCCAGTTCCTCAGTGGCACACAGCAGCTAAAACCATACTTCAATAACAGCCTCACAATCTTTAATAGCTTAGCAGAACTTCTCGAAGGAAATACTGTCACAGTTGTGGACTGAAACTGAACTACTAGATCTACTGTGCATGACGATTCCCCTCCCCCCCCCCCGAAAATGCACTGTGAACTAAGGGCTTGTCTTCATGTACAGCTGTGCCGCTAAGGTGCTTTAGTGAAGACGTTCCTACAGCAGTGGGAGAGCTTCTCCTACCGGCATAGTTAATCCACCTTCCCAAGTGGCGGTAGCTGTGGGAGAAGCTCTCTCATGGCCGTAGCGCTGTCTATGCAGGGGGTTAGGTCAGTATAAATACAGTGCTCAGGGGTGTGGATTTTTCACATCCCTGAGTGATGTATAAAACCAATATAGGCCAGTAAGTCAAAATGCATCTGTTCTAGTAGGTTGAAATTAATTAAAATATTTTGCTCAGTGGAATAAGTAGGGCAGCAGATTAACTTTCAGCTTTTCACCCCTGATAAGTCTGGGTACAAACATAGGTAAAATAAATAAAATATAATAATAATATTTTGGATCTGATTCTCAGTTAAGCTAAGGCCCCTTTGCATTGTGGTGTCAATATAAAGAGACCTTAAAATGGGTGTAAGTGAACATTCAGATCCTTATGTTTATAGTGCATCTTTCATTCCAAAGGATCCCAATGCACATCATTAACTATGACTCAAATTTTGCAGTCCTGACTCAGTCTGAACTCGGGGTGGAGGGGGGAGAGCGGGAATCTCATTGAAGTCAATAAGCAAAGCAGAGCAACATAATGTGGAAAAGAAGATTCCAAGGAAGCTGCAAGAGGCATTTAAATGACCACAAGTAATTATCCCAATTTTGTCCCAGATACAGGGCTGACACTCTGTACTTTGGCAAACTCTGCCAGGGTATTCTTTTTAAGTTTATCATTAGGACTTCAGTTTTGTACCTCAGTGTAGTGTGTTTAGAGGTTTAGCCTCCAGTAGATGCTTGTGGCTGTTCACATGATAAAAATCACCATATATTTTTGCACAATTGACAGTCACTTACCAGAAGATCCACAGGACTAGAATAATGGGGATGCTGCAAGTCCGAGTTGGCCTGGCCCAGCTTTGCAGGAAGTGTTCAAAGGACAGACCTGCAATTTGATTGACTCTAAAGAGGATTAGTAGTCTCTTACTTTCACAAAACCTAAAAACAAAATAATCGGAGCAGAAGGTCGGGGGAAAGAGATGTATGCACTTTAGTGCAGAGTATTCTCCTACTGGCCACATCACCATTCACATTTAGGGCCCAGCCTTTTGAACATCTGCTCCATTGCTTGACTCATATAGAACTGGAACTGATCTACATATACTCACAGAAGTACTGCTTTGGGT